AATATGGAAGTAATTATAGAATAATAACAGTCATATTTTTCTCTATATATATTTAGATATTTCATAATAAATAGATACACTTCCATATCTTCTTTGGATAATATACAAAGGTGTTTCGTGAAACTTTTGTTTCATTCTATTGTGCAAATCTGAGTAAAATAACAGTCAATTAAGCTGAGTTGTTATATCCGGGATTGATGTGTTGCTACCTTCTATATTGTGTATCTTTCACAAAGTAGTACAAATCGTCTTAAAAGAGTGATCTAACCCACACCTCACCCGGCCAATTACTTTATTTTTCAAACACATTTTTCCAACTTTTTTAAATGCAAGGTTTTTTGGGTAAGTTATTTAAATACAAGTTAAGTGATAAAAGGATCAACCAATCTATGAATATGACATCAATTCAAAACTGAAGTGGGAGGGAATCTGCTAGTACTTGGTTTATCACGCCCATGTAACCTTATGGGCTTGGGAAGAATCATGAGCTTGTCCCTAAGCAGCGGAAAACGATTGGAAATAAAGGCCATTACTGAATATGTCCGCCACTTGATTAACGGTGTGATAATATTGAACACCGAGTTCTTTGTTAATGATTTTTTCATTAACATAATGAAAAACTGTTAGCAAAATAACTTCAATAGATTAGAAGCTTTTGATCATGTATTTACTCTCCTTAAAGAAATTATGTCCCCACTATGTCGTTGTTGAATTTTTTGGGTTTATAGCAAATTTTTCTAGAATTAACAAAGTCAAATAAAATTTTAGATAGAAAATTCTAAAATTCTCTCAAGAACAAAATTGAGAAACGTTATTTTGTATATATTTGTATTGAAGGATCTGTAGAGGTATTTATAATACTTTAGAGATGTAAAAGGCAGGCACAACTCTTGGGCCAAGAGACATTAATTAATACACGTTATTTTGTATATATTTGTATTGAAGGATCTGTAGAGGTATTTATAATACTTTAGAGATGTAAAAGGCAGGCACAACTCTTGGGCCAAGAGACATTAATTAATACACGTTATTTTGTATATATTTGTATTGAAGGATCTGTAGAGGTATTTATAATACTTTAGAGATGTAAAAGGCAGGCACAACTCTTGGGCCAAGAGACATTAATTAATACACGTTATTTTGTATATATTTGTATTGAAGGATCTGTAGAGGTATTTATAATACTTTAGAGATGTAAAAGGCAGGCACAACTCTTGGGCCAAGAGACATTAATTAATACACGTTATTTTGTATATATTTGTATTGAAGGATCTGTAGAGGTATTTATAATACTTTAGAGATGTAAAAGGCAGGCACAACTCTTGGGCCAAGAGACATTAATTAATACACGTTATTTTGTATATATTTGTATTGAAGGATCTGTAGAGGTATTTATAATACTTTAGAGATGTAAAAGGCAGGCACAACTCTTGGGCCAAGAGACATTAATTAATACAAAAATAATTAATCGTTTATAGAGTTCAAGCCCAAGTGTCCATCTTTTGACTTTAAATATTATTTTATTTAAAATCTTGAAGGCTCATTGATTTGAAATATTTGGAACTTTCCTCCAAATCTTCTCACCATCCAAATTTATAAAATTTGGTATGTTTCTTTTTTTAAATTCTTGTACTCCCGTTCAACTTTTTCAATGTGGGATACCTTACATTACTAATTATTTTTAACAATCCCCCACTTAGATAGTAACGTACATAATCAAAATCAACTAAAATTTATGCAAGTGCCTAACTTTTAACTTTAAATATTATTTTATTTAAAACTTAATCAAAGCCTATTGATTTGAAATATTTGTAGTTACCCTCCAAACCTTCCCACTATCCAAATTTATAAAATTTGGTGTGTTTCTCCTTTTAAATTTTTACATTTTCTTTAAACTTTTCCAATGTGAAATACTTTACAAGTATCTTACATTATTAACTATTTCTAACAAAAACAACCTCAATATGCTTTGTGCAAGCCTGGAAAACAGGATTTGATGCTAATGCAGTTGAATTAATGTTGTTACACCAAATAGGAGGGACCGTTGAAAGAAAAATCATTAAATCTTTAAACAAGAAGTGCAACTAGAAAAGTTTAGCTGCGTCGTGAGGTTTGACAATTCGATTTTCGGACTCGATTGAGAAACCGTGTTTTACTTCTTGGCACTCGATGATATTGTACTTAAGCCAAGGAAAATACAAAACCCAACTATAGACCGTCTGTGGGAAGGGCAACCCACACAGTTGACGTCCGAAGAGGCTTCAATGCATAAAGGTCTAGGTTGAAAGACAATATCATAATCAAAATAGTCCCCTCCGTGTAACGTAAAATACATTTAACCGTGATCCAATATGTTGACGTTGGTGTTCCTTGTCTTCAAATAACTTTTCCGCCTACGGTATCAAAAATTTGCTATAACATTAAAATTGATCACCCAAATACTGGTTATGTGAAATAATATAATACTCAGAAGTTCAAGGTTAAACAACGGGAAATTGTGAAAACTTAGAACACAAAGAAAAAAAAAATTATTGTAGAGATTTTGAAATTAAAAAATTATTGTAGAGATTTTGAAATTAAAAAATAATAAATTTGGATTTAAGATCATAATTGAAAATATTAAAGTATTAGAAATACCCTTTCAAATCCACATGACAATTATTAATGAACCAGTTTTTGAACACAATTGAGAATCAACTGAGGAATGATCCCAAACGAAAAATTTAGTGGTGATAATATAAAAACATCAAAAGTTATAATTAATGAATTATCTGAATAATATAAGAATTTAATTGTAGATCACAAGCATTCACCATACCCAGAGTCTGTGATAAATTAAGTTTTCTAACAGGTAAACTTTATTTTATTACAAATAATAATTAATTAATTCAAGCATAGAATAATCAGTTATTTGACTTGCAGAGAATTTCAAGCATTCGATGTACATAGTATAACAAATCAAGAAATTATAAAAAGTAAAAACTTTACTAAAAGATAAGAGTTAAAATAAAAAAATAAATCATGCATTAAAACGAACATTGAATCAAAGATAATACCGTGCGTTATTGAAAGTATCTCCCCTACCTTTAGTTGGGCTTTTAGCAAGCCATAAAATTAGAACAAAAATTAGAAAAAAAAAAATGAAAAAAAATAATAATAATCTTCATCAAAAAGGTGAGAGTCCTTATTTATGCTAAAATAAATCCTAGGTATAGATAACAAATCTAGGGTTGGTTTTGGAGGAATTTTTTTCCCAAAAAATGTCCTTTTAAGTCAAATTTCGTACATAAAATCTTGGGGCGTGCGAGTACAAAATTTACTCAGAATTCGAGCTCAATTTTTGCATAGTTAGAAGCAAATTTACAAAATTTTTGTGAAAAACACTTTTGTAGCCCTTGAAGTATTCTTTCCAACCCCACAAAAATCAAGTCCATCAGATAACGAAGTCAAAATTTATAACCAAAATACTGAAGAAGTATCAAAATCTTATTTTCTAAAATATTTTTTTAATCCAACTTTAAATGAGTTTTCTTCTTAATTGGATTTTTATATGGATTAAATTGATGTCTTAATCTTCAAATCGTCCTTTCTTATTTTTGACTCTTCAATCTTTATCAATTGTGGTTCTTCTTCTAGTGATTGTTTCACTTGTCTTTTCTATTATTATTTAAAATCAACCANAACAATCTCCCCCTTGATGAAATTTCAATAAACTCCACTTGAAACATCAGGTAAGCATCTTGATCCAGATGCCCATTAACTTATTATGGGATGTTCAGTCCAGTATCCTGGGATGTCCATCAATCTTCAACAACGTAAAAAAAAAATCTTTTAACTTCTGGGTAGTCATTGGTGTTGTCAAATTCTCAGTTATCCGAGAATTGCTTTGAACAGACCGTGTCGCACCAATATTTGTTTAATAGTGTTTTCACAAGGCTCCACCTCGANATAACTAGAAAAAGTATCAAACTAGAAAATTAAAAAATCTAACACATTTAATCACAAATAATATGCAACTAATCAATCATTAAATATAACAAAATTACACTTTTGATGGTTAATCAGTTGGTTTATGTATAAATTGATAAACCTGATTTATGGAAAAGGCAANTTCTCCTGTTGAACCACTCTCCACAAGCTCTGTGTCCGCTCTTTCAAGAAGCAAGCTTTATCCGCACTTCATGTGTTACCACATTACCACTCCATTGAGAGCCTTTTTTGCACCTATCATCTTGCGCCCTTCTCTGCATCTAGAATTGCGTTTCCGTAACTTCCATACCAAGAGTCTATTATNTCGAGAGGATGACCATCACCCAGACTCAGTTTACTCCCAAAACACACGGTGAAGAAACATGTCTTGGCTTCGACCATTTTCATGTGGGGGGTGAGAGTGTATTCTGAGATTGGGTCACGAATAAATTACCACTGGAAGCAGTGACCTCTAAGCCAAGTAAGAAATGCAATGGCCCCAAGTCTTTCATGACAAATAGCTTTTTTAAATCGACAATAAGCTATNGATACCAATTATTGAGTTTTGCACAGCAGTTTGACACGCTCTGACACCAATTTCTGGTACCATTTGTTGGGTTCCACCTAGTGGTAATTCCGCCTGATACCATTTGTCCAAAACCTTGAAAGAGGTAAAGGATCAGAAGGTCAATCATTTGAACCAGGCAGAGGATTGAAGTTCAGGTCAATCTGTCCGAAACCTTGAAAGAGGTAAAGGATCAGAAGGTACTTGGACCAGGCAGAGGATTGAAAGCCAATAAAAACTGACTAAAGGATTTTTGCCGAAGTCTTCTTTGCAGAGAAACTTAACCATTTGTTTGAACCCACCCATCAAGGAGAAAACAATCTTTATGATTCCTTTTAACCAACCTGCAAATGGTGACAAGGATGTCATGATACAATAACAATTTGACTACTCAAATTATTTGTCTACGGAGTGTGCTGACAACACTCAAAATGTATTGGTTTGGTAGTTAAAATCATCACTTTGTAGTATAAATACCAGGTTTATGTCTTTTATACATGTGGGATTGAGGTGCAACATTGCATTGTTGCTAAAAATCAAAGATAATTCACACATATTTGCATGATATTTTTTAAATTTGAAATATTTCTCATCTTATATCAGCTTAATTTGTCATGGCACAACAATACCTTAGCAAAAAGTCCTCAACATCAATAATCCAATAAACAAACATAATCTCTATACTAATTCCTTGTCGTCATTATCATTTCAAACCCTCACTTACTTCAAATTCCTTCAAAATCTTCCTAACTTGTTCGAGGGTCACAAACAGAATAACAGTGAACGGACCCTGCCTAGAAATTGTTGGAATAAACCCCTTGTAAAGTGACATGGGTCCCTCAGCTCTCACCGTCTTAAGGGCACAATCAAGTGCCCCTCTATATGGGGGAGCCATCCCTGCCTCCACCTTCATGTTCATCACTCGGGTTTTGATCACAGCAATTGGGTTCGATGCCACCGCAGCCACAAAACCTGCGGCAAAGCTTGCAGTCACGTGGGTCCCGAGACCATCGTTCGTCACACCATGGTCCAATCTCGCTTCCTTGATCTGATCGTACGATGCAAACTGTGATGCCGTGACGATCATAGCACGGTTCACCGTAAGGGATGAACTGCGCCACAGGCTAGTGATCCCCTCCTGCTTGGACATTTGTGTAATTGCATCAACCACTCCCTTGTAGTTGCGGCGCTGAGAAATTGGAAGCCGACCATCGGCTTGAATTCGGACCATTGCCACGTCAGCAGGGTTGCCAACAGCCGCGCCTATGCCTCCGGCGAGCAATCCGGCGGCTATTTTACGGCAGACTGGGAATTTACCCGAATCCGGGTCGGACCATTTCTGCTTAAACACCTCATACAAGCCCATTCTGGTGGTGGAGTACAATGTCTGGCGGAGCACGGTGGCAGAGACACCGGAGAACAAGGCAGAAGCACCTTCGGATTGAAAAATCTTTACCCCAACCGAAATATGGGTCCCACTCTAGGTGGTGCTGGTGCAGGAATGTGAAGGGTTTCTTGAGCCATTGTTGCGCCGTTGAAAGCAAAGGCTGGACGCAGAACTTGTGTGTTCGGGTTGGGAACATGGTTTTCACCCTGAAGCTGCATTCTGACCTTGATAAGGTCCAGAGGATGGGTCGAACAGCCTGCTACTACTGAAGCAATACCTCCCTCGACGAAGCCTTTCAGACCCATAATTGATTCTTTGTGTAGCGACTGAGAAAACTTATGGAGTTATGAAATTGGGTTTTTTTTTTTAGTGAAACAAACGGAATCAGAGAAGTATCAATGGAGTTTGGAAAAAATGGGTGTCAGAATAAGTATATGAATGAATGAATGAATGAATGGTTAGGAAGACCAGTAAGAATTAGGGTTTATCTGACCGGAGACCAGTAGAGTAGAATGGAGAGCAAAAGTTATAGAGGAAGGGTGTGATGCTATGTGTCTGTGAGATATGAGAATTTGAATTTATAGGAGGAAAAGAGAGGACATAGGAAAGAAGGAAATCAGAGAGGTGTATAGGAGAGAGAACGCGATTGGAGAAGGTCCATTGGCAAAGCCCTAACCCTTATTTCAATATTTGACTAGACCGGTTCTACTTGGCAATAATCCTGACTTTTGACTTGAAACATTGATGGTGGTAGGGTGGCCAACGAGAAGTAGTTATGTTCCGCGTTACTATTATTTCTACCCTAAATGAGTCAGTTGGTGGCATGCCTGTACTTAAGTAACAATGAGATGGCTGCTTTAGAACTGTAAGAATTAGTAGTGTAATTTATGCGGGTTAATTTCAACCCAAACCGACCTTAACCGTACATGGATTGTGATTTTTAATATTTAAGTTGTGCTTGAACAATAAAATTCAATCTGAATTGAGTTTGGACAATACTTAAGTTGGAAATTCAAATTGATGATTTTAGCCATCACCCAACTCGAATTTAAAAAATTGGGTTTGACCTAAAATTTGAAAAAAAAATTATAAATAGACATGCATATATAAAAAATGTTAGGACATTTGTTATTGATGTTTTAAGTCTATTGCATATATAAAATTTATTTTTTCTGTTTTCTAATTAGTTTTGATTAATGGAAGGTATAGAACTAAGTTCAATTTTGGTGTTGGACCCAAAACTAAACCCTATTTTTAGTTCAATTTGAGTTTTAATTAACAAGAAATTCAATTTAAACTCGAGTTTAACCCAAATTTTGTAAGATGAGATAAACTTAAATTCAAAAATTTAATCATGGGTTGGACTTGAATTATAGTTGCTCAAGTTGTGCTGGAGTTGGGTTGGACTCGAGTTAAAGGTTTTGGATTGATCTCTTAACTAGCCCAAACCCATCAGAGTTGCACCCTTAGTAAGAATATACGGCAAATGCATAAGATTTTAGAAGTACCTTGGAAATGGACATCTTGGTAGTTAGATTAGTTTCAGCTGTAAAGAAAATGTAAACAAATTCTGAAAGTAATTCAGGAAAGGAGGTAGAAGAGTGGGGCAGAGCTGGAGAGTGGTGGAAGACATGAATCAGGACAGTAAAGAATATGGGAATATTTTGATTCAACAGTCTTGGTAAATCGCTTATTTTGAGGTTGGCACCTATAACAGAGCAAGATTTTACTCTTTTTGACACACTAAGAACATATTGACAACCCAATTAACAAAAGCTCTAAATTAATATTTTTTGCAGGTTGCAAAACTACAAGAGCAGTTGCAGAAACAGAGGAAGTTGAGGACAGTACTGGAAGCTGCACATAAAAAAGGAACCTTCCTTGTCTGAACCTCTATTGATGAGGTGGTCTGGTTAGTCTACCACACAATCACAGACATGTGCATTAATTGTTGACTTCATGATGTGCTAAACAGCTAAAGAGGAAGGCAGAGCTTGAGGGAATGGCTGAACGCATAGATATATAATCCGTTTTTCCTTATTTTTTTTCCATTTCACCCCCCACTCTCCTTTAAGCATAAATATTTTCTCATTTCAGTATTGATGGGTTAAGCCCAAATAGTCCAATTTATGTGTTAAAGTCCAACCCGAGGAGCCCAACCTCATTTTGATTCCACCAACCCCAAGACAGTCCAAGACCGGTTAGACTTCTTGCTTAGCACGTCATCAAGAGGAGAGCACAGGAAACTTATCTGCACCACCAAAGGAAACGGTTCAAATCCACCAAGTCCAAGACAGCCCAAGGCCGGTTAGACTTTTTGCTTAGCACGTCACCAAGAGGAGAGCGCGGGAAGCTTATCCACACCATCGAAGGAAGGAAACAGTCCAATCTTTGACCACGTTTCATGAAGAGCTCCCCAACCTCTTCCTTCCGTTGAGGATAAGTCGTGATCTCCACCAAAGATAATCTCTAAGCTGTGATAAAGAAGCCTTGAGGATATGTCATGATCTCCACAAGAATGATCTCTTATCTACTATAAAATGGCTCTAATCTGGGAGAGGAAGGAGACACTCATCAGAGACTTACAGAAGACGAACCGACTANTGTACGTACTTGGTGATGACATTGACTTCATATTGGTCAGTACTGATTAATGTTGTTTTCGTGTTTGAAGAGGAACACGGATTTTTCCATGAAGCTACAATACTTTATATTCATAGTTAGTGGATTTTGCTCGGACTAATACTACAATATATAATGGATATTAGGATAATTCAACTAGTACGGTAATTCTGCACCTCTAAGGATTCTATATAAGACATGAATTAGGTAATGTATAGTGTATAACAATTCATAATTAATACCATACCATAGCAAAAATGCATAATTGGAATCTCTATAACAATTCTTTGTCGTCATTATCAAATCAAATTCTCACTCATTTTTAAAAATCTTTCAAAATCTTCCTGACTTGTTCGAGGGTCACAAACAGCACAACAGTGAACGGACCCTGCCTAGAAATGGTTGGAATGAACCCCTTGTAAAGTGCCATGGGTCCCTCAGCTCTCACTGTCTTAAGTGCACAATCAAGTGCCCCACTATACGGTGGAGCCATCCCTGGCTCCACTTTCATGTTCATCACTCGGGTTTTGATCACATCAATAGGGTTTGACGCCACCGACGCCACAAAACCAGCGGCAAAACTGGCCGTCACGTGGGTCCCGAGACCATCTTTCATCGCACCATGGTCCAATATTGCTTCCTTGATCTGATCGTACGATGCAAGTTGTGATGCTGTAACAATCATAGCGCGGTTTACCGTAAGGGATGAGCCGCGCCACAGGCTAGTGATCCCCTCCTGCTTGGACATTTGTGTAATTGCATCAACCACTCCCTTGTAGTTGCGGCGCTGAGAAATTGGAAGCCGACCATCGGCTTGCATTCGGACCATTGCCACGTCAGCAGGGTTGCCAACAGCCGCGCCGATGCCTCCGGCGATCAATCCGGCGCCTATTTTTAGGCCGAGTGGTAATTTACCCGAATCCGGGTCTGACCACTTCTGCTTGAAAACCTCATACAAGCCCATTCTGGTGGTGGAGTACAAAGTCTGGCGGAGCACGGTGGCGGAGATACCGGAGAACAAGGCGGAAGCACCTTCGGATTGAAAAATCTTTACCCCAACCGAAATGGGTCCCACTCTAGGTGGTGCTGGTGCAGGAATGTGAAGGGTTTCTTGAGCCATTGTTGCGCCGTTGAAAGCAAAAGCTGGACGCAGAACTTGTGTGTTCGGGTTGGGAACATGGTTTTCACCCTGAAGCTGCATTCTGACCTTGATAAGGTCCAGAGGATGGGTCGAACAGCCTGCTACTACTGAAGCAATACCTCCCTCGACGAAGCCTTTCAGACCCATAATTGATTCTTAGTGTAGCGACTATGGATCGAGTTATGAAATTGGGTTTTTTTTTAAGTGAATTCGTTTCACAAACGGAATCAGAGAAGTATCAATGGAATTTGGGAAAAATGGGTGTCAGAATAAGTATATGAATGAATGAATGGTTAGGAAGACCAGTAAGAATTAGGGTTTATCTTACCGGAGACCAGTAGAGTAGAATGGAGAGCAAAAGTTATAGAGGAAGGGTGTGATGCTATGTGTCTGTGAGATATGAGAATTTGAATTTATAGGAGGAAAAGAGAGGACATAGGAAAGAAGGAAATCAGAGAGGCGTATAGGAGAGAGAACGCGGTTGGAGAAGGTCCATTGGCAAAGCCCTAACCCTAATTTGACTGGACTGGTTCTACTTGGCTGTTTGGGAAGATTCTTTTGCCCTCACTTTTGACCTAAAATATATTATATATTAATGGCGGTGGGCTCTCGGCCAACCAGAACGAAGGAAAGCCTTGTGAAGAGCACGTGGCGAGCAAGTGTTATGTTCGGCGGTATTATTATTTCTAATTTTGATTATTGATTATTTTTGTTGCGTGATTATATGGTAATTGGTAAGTGTCCAGCTTGAAAGGTCTGACCTTATGACCATC